TTGGCACAGATGTACAACATAGGCTACCTTATTTTGTTATTTTTAATTCCACGCGGACGGAGTCGCGGGCAAAAGCTAGTAATTTAATAAAAACACAAGTAGTCATAACAATAGTAATTTAAGTCAATGTCATATATTAGATTTCAGCTTTAATTATATCCGTCTATGATATCTCGGATACTACTTTCTCAAGACTCGTCTACTTCTAAAAATACATCTTTTGTAGAGAAAAAAATTACGAATTTACTTACTTTTCAAATATATTGAACAAACTCATTTCGTAGAAAGCTTGTAATGCAACCGCGAACGGATCCATAGGGTTGTCCATAACTGTACTCTTTAGTCCAAAAGCACAAGGTACTATTGCGTCAGCCGTATAACCTCCGACAAGTTTCTCTGAATCCACCAGTGTTGCATTTTCTGTATCAACTTCTTCGATATTCGTTCCTGTACCATTGTCGTTTAGGGGTCTACAATTTTTGGTATTTGATATCAAATCTTTGATACGTATTGTGAATTCTTTAGCTGTGTTCTCTATTATTGGGAACATTCCTCTTAATTTATTTGGCCTGAAATTAGAGATAGAAACATAATTAAATTACCTATTAACCACTCAAGATATCAGTCTAATATTCCTAGTATAACCTAACCAAGAAAAACTTCTGGCGGCAGCCACTTCAATCCACTTCTATTTGACATTCATATTTTTCGTATATCGTGAGGGTATTTATATTTCTGGTTAGGGTAAACAAGGGAAGATTTAAAACACGTAGCGCCTGTCCCACCACTGGCTGATAGAGGCGCAGATAGCTTAAAAATGACGTCATATCAGATAAGGTAACAAATTCCGATATTAGAGATCACATATTTTAAACGTTGGATTTTTATCGGACAGTTTACAATTTTCAATTTGGTGGGACTGGCCTTTAATGTAAAAAACATATGTCGTAAGTAACAAAATAAATGATTTGAAAAGAGTGCATCTGTTCAAACCTTGGCGTCATAGACTAATAAAGATGTTAGAGTGTGCAGGAGTTGTGTTTATGAAATTGTTTTTCGTAAATTCATTTTCTAGAAGTTTATTATGATAGAAAGGAATAGCTTTGTATACAGACTTCAGTGAATTGCTGTAAATTCACTGCAAATTCAATCAGCTAGTCCATTCTTACACTGTCGATAGTCTGTGGATCCTAACTGAATTCAATTTAATCAAACAATGAAGTAATTGCATTTAGAAAATAATCGAGTACTTTTTAAACAATTCCCTAATTACAAAACTTTTTTTAAATTAATAAGAGATAAGGCATTCTTTAATTTAATTCATTATTAGATCTAATCAAAGAATAAAAATAAATGTCTGGTTAAGTGTTGCTACTTTATCTTAAATTACATAGATGGCGCTATTCTAAAAGTATGAATACGTACGAACGTATGAAGCGAAATCGTGGTTCCCCAAACATTTCAGAGGAAAACTTTATTCATTTAGCTCTTGAATTTCACTAATCCAATTTATATGAAACCGATCCGATTATCGACTGTCATCGACTTGTCTGAATCCATTATTTTAGTAGTTGTTAAAGCGAACAGTACGCTATGACTATTTAATCTGGTTAATTGAATTTTCAGATAGTTATGGCGAATTGTTTTGAATAGAAAGGGATAAATTATCACAATTTATATATCTTACGAATATTGATACAATTAAATATGTAACAGCGTCTCAAATAATAACACGTTTAAACTCGAAATTCAATTAATGCGCTGATGAAGTGATTTTTTTAGATATGTATTATTATTCGGCAGTTAGCGACACAGTAATTGTAACCATGACAACCTCTACGTATATAAATAGACATAGAAAGAGATGGATGGATTGCGTGAAAGGTGACATGATCAAGAAGGGAGTGATGACTGAGATGACGGATGATAGAGTGCTTTGGAGGACGAAAACCCGGTGCGCCGACCCTACGGGAGTAGGATAAGGCAGGGGAGATGATGATGATGATGATGATGATGATGACAAATACCAAATAGCTCCGATATTATAAAGAGACGAATTTGTATCACACAGTATTCACTTACGAGAAAATCGGTGATATCTTCGCTCTTAGCGTCTTCCATTCATTCCCTCTGAGGAAGAGAACAGAGCCGGCGAGCGGGTCCACTTCCTCGTTGAAGAAGAAACCTCTATCAGTGAAGTGATGGAAGTCGTTCACGCAGATCTTCTTTATTAGCTCCGGGTCGCGCACAACCAGCGTGCGTTGAAAGAACTGATGGCAACCTGGACCAAAAATTACCTTCAGTTAATACCAAAACTAACCTAACATTTAAAAAACAAAACACGAACTGTTTGTAACTAGATGAATTAGCGCCATCTATTGGCCGCGTTTTAAAAACAAATGTTTAATCATGCTTTTGTGCAGATATAATATACCCATGCACTCGGGGAAAGGATACGAATCGAATGACAGCAAATACGGTTTAGACTAGGCAGTCATAATAGAATTTAAATACATACAAGCCCATAACACAATAACTTTAGTGTTTGATTTCATTTGACACATTATGAAAAAAGCCCTGATTTCACCAGAACGACCTAACCAAAAAAGTCCTAGCCTTCAATCGTCTTCTTTGAATAATTTAAGTATGCAAAAAAGTTTTTTTGGTTTTTATTTTCCTAATCAAATTGTAAAACTTATTAAAATCAAACAATCAAATCTTCGAAGTGAAAAATCTTATTCTAGAATAAATAACGTTTATTAATTATGTTGTATTAACTAAAGTTTATTACTGAAAGGTTCAAATATTATCTCGGCTAAGTGATGTAAAATATTCCTCGACACGAATTCATTATACGACCTGGAGAGTTGACGAAAGAAATCACTTCTCAAAGAAATGTTGAATTATTCAAATGAACGTTAACGAGCGAAGAAAAAAAAAACACCGTTGAGATGAACGACAAAATACATATATTATCTGTACTCTATTAGATTAATTGACCACTAAGTGCGTTCCTTAGGTTACATTTAGTTTCATAAGTTGCGAGTCACGACACTGCGAGTGTACACCGCGTGGAAATGTGAGCTCTTCGTCCACCAATAATGTAATGTATATTTAAAATGTATCTTTAAATAATATAATGTATATTGATTGTGGTAGAGCCCGCTTTAAGATCTTCACACGGATGGGCCGGCTCGCCCGGTATAATACCACGACCACACAGAAAACAGGCGTGAAGTGGAAGCTATTCCGCGTTTCATCGGATGAGTGAGGTGCCGGAGGCCTAATTTTAGTCCCTTTCCCTTTCCACCCTTTTCTTAGAGGAAAGACTGGGAAGGAAAAGTGGAAGAGATGCATATGAAGGGGAAATTTCCTCTGTTTGTGCGTCTCCTTTTCCGTCAATTAAGGGTAGGCAACGCATCTGCAATGCGGATGTTTATGGGCAGAGGTCGCTTTCCATTTCGGTGGATTCAGGTGGTCGCTTGCTCGTTTGACACCTAGTATTCTATAAAAAAAAAACAAGGAAATATCTGATTCGTTAAGATTCAAAGCTAATTTCCACACGTCTTACAACATTTTTAATGTAGAATTACCGTTTTTCACACAGTGTTATTACATGCTTTGATAAAAGTATTGCATATACACCCAGTATAGATATTTGCTAATATAAATTAACCAACAGACAACGAGATCTCATTTTTATTGTGAAATTGTCCTACTTTCGATATACGTTTTAAAATTTCCAAAAATTATAAAACCTTTATTCATTTTGTTGATTTCTCGCCGGTTAACAGGTAACCGATTACATAAATAACCTGTCTGTTACTTCATATACTAAATATATCGTATTGTTTACTCTGTTATGCTTTGACACACTTTTAACTAACCTGTACTACGGTGAAGTTTTCCAGATTTTTTAATTAAAAATTAAAACTTGATTGCATTTTTAATAGGCAACATTGTAAAAAAAAATATATTACGTATTTTGTTTTTGTTGTTTGTATTTTTTTTTATTAAATGAATATTCATTTACTGTATTCTGATTTTAAATAACTTATAAAATTACTAGCTGTCGCCCGCGACACCGACCGCGTGGAATTAAAAAGAAACAAAAGTGGGTAGCCTATGTATGTGTTCTTCCAGGGTATTTTCTACGTCTATGCCAAACTTCATCTAGATCCGTTCAGCCGTTTAGGCTACAAACTCTAACAAACATCCATCCATCCATGTAAGATAAGTAAGATCAAATGTTTTTACACCATCTTATAGATAGAAATGTATCTTCCTTGTTTCAAACTTGGTTTATTCAAGTCGATGTTGTTTCTGTGAGTTAATTCAGTAAACATTCTTTAAGTTATTTGTTTCGGTTTGTATTTAACTTAAGCTATTTGTTTTAAATTTGTTATCAAGTTAAAACCTTTATCATACTTCATACTAGATTGTAAGCGATAGTTTGGATGTATGGAAGTTTCTAACTACGTATCAAAACGGTTTAGCTGATCTCAATGATTTTTGGCATATGTAGAACATATTTTTAAGACCACAGACTATTTACCATGTTTTATAATTCCAGGAATAAGGTAATACGAGGTAGTTTTTTAAATTTCCACTTACCTAAGATTTTTTCATTTTTATACGTATCGTAGATCCTCTTGAAGCACATACCGCCTTGTTCCTTGAAGGCCACAACTGTCCTGATGTGACCCACCAGCGGCCAGGCAGGGGGGGAGAATATTCCCTTACTCTTCCAGTAGTCATGATCATAAGTAAGCACAGCCAGTGCACACACAACACAGAGAGAACTAGCTAAAATATACCATAAAACAACACTACCGAAGGTGCAGAATTGAATAGCGAATAACAAGAGTAGAATAATTTTCACAAAAGTACGTTTAAATCCAAACATCTTGATAACATTTTATCCACTGATTTTTCACTACGACATGATTATTCTTTTATATCATTATTAATTTAATTTTTAAATTAATACATGATGGAAATTTGAAAACAAAATCGGTGTTCACACAGGAGCGTACTCAGACATTTCATAAAATGTAATAATCCAAGTTTGGCGGTGCGACGCCACGCGCTGCGCACGCGCAAGCGATGCTGTAACAGAGAAAGTCACACCAGGGCCGCAATCCACGCATTTTTATATCATTCCTAATATACAGAGATAATTCCTTATAGTTATGGTTAACATCACTGGTGTCATAATTAAATAACATTTTATTTTGTATAAGAGTTCTGTTAATTTTGCTTACACTCAGTTTATTCCTGATTTTAGATTTATACCGCGTTTATTTGTAAAGCTGTTAGAATTTATTTAGTTTTTATTAACAGTAAGAAATAGTTTTCGATCTAATTAATATTATAAAATATGATAGAATATTCAAAATCAATACTAATGTTATAAAGAGGAAAGATTTGTATTTTGTATGCATTGAACTAACACTACTGTCCCGATTTCTATTTTCAAAAAAAATATTTCATCATTATAAAGCTACATTACTAAAGAGTAACATAGGCAATATATTTTTTATTCGTTTTTAATTTTCACGCAGACTAAGTCGCAAGCATCAATTAGTACTAAATAATCATATTGTACCAATACGTCCCTGTGTTGTCACACATTTACAGTATTTCGCTGCAAAATCCGGTGGCAGATTTACCCTAGATTTACGTTATCTTCATTTAAATACATAATTTTCTCAAATCATCTAGTTCATTCGCTATTCAATACACATTTGTAACTCGGAGCGTTCATTTTGCTCGAACCTCTATTTCAGCTCGTTCGCAATGTTTGCACACCCCCCTCCCCCGTCTACCCTCGTTACATCGTTTATTTAAACATTCTCTAATGACTTTAAATTCTTAAACCAAATGTTGAAATCGTCTTGAAGTGGATTTCATCTTTTGAATTATTCAACACACGATTATCTAAGCCTGCTTATCTGAGCTTAGATTTTCAGAGGTCAATTATTAAATTAACTGAAAGTACTACTAACAGTGGTAGTGCCCGCTTTAACATCTTAGCACGAATGGTACGCCCGGTGTAATACCACAACCACACAGAAGACAGGCGTGAAATGGAAGCAATTCCGTGTTTCGTCTGATAAGTGTGGTATTGGAGGCCTAATTTAAGTTCATTTCTCTTTACCACCCTTTTCTTATAAGAAGAGAATGGGAAGGGGAAGTGGATTTGACGGTAGGGGAAATACATAAGAATAGGCAATGTGCTCTTTAAGTGCGTCTCCTCCTCCGGCGGATAAGGGTAGGCAACGCATCTGCAATTGCGAATGTCTATAGGCAACGGTCGCTTCGCCATTTTGCGAATTCAGGTGGCAGCTTGCTCGTTTGTCACCTTATGTTAGTTAAAAAAAAACTACTCCTGTTTTTTTAACTATCTGTAGCTTTTGAGATTGTGAATATTTATCCTCGTTCAGTTCTATTTTTCTTTAAAAACAACAAATTCTGCCAATCACTAAACCGTCATCGACTTTGAAATAGTTGTATTTACACATATTATGTGGCAGTAAGCTATAAAAGTAAATATCTGCGCAACAAGACATGCCAATCGCCGATTGCGCTGTCAGACTTAAATACTGACGACATCCAAAACATTGCAAAAGCATTGCAAAAAACATTACTTTCATCTACATTTGAAATAAAATCAAACATTGTCGCTGATTTTTAGTCTATTTGACAATGTTTTAGATAAAACGTTAATTTGTACTAATGTTCCAAGTAAAAAAGAGAAGGCTAACCTAAATCACAGGTATAACTAACGAACTGTTGCCCGCGACTTCGTCCGCGTGGTATTAAAAAACATACAAACTATATAAATTACAAAAAGCTACGTATCCCTCGGGAACCGGACATTTCTCGGGGATGAACCTTATCCCATGTGTACTCCAGACTTTGTTTTATATCTGTGCTAAATTTCAATAAGATATGTTGAACCGTTGCAGAATGATTGAGTAAACATTAAAAAACGAAATTAATGAATCCCACGGGAACGGTAAGTATTCCTGGGATAAAAAGTAGCCTATGTGTTCTTCCAGACTATGCTCTAAACCTGTGCCAAATTTCATGGAGATATGTTCAACCGTTTAGGCTACAAAGGCTAACAAACATCCATCCATCCATCTAAACTTTTGGATTTATAATATTATATAAGTAAGAAGTAAGATTAGTAAGATTCAGGAGACAGCGCCCCAATGATTTTGTAAAAAAATATAAGTTAGTCAGTTACAAAAGGTTTCCAAAGAATTTTTCATTGAGATTCGAAACGAAAACGACAGAACTTTTGCATTTAACATTAGTAAGGCTTCATTCATAGTTCGCTGTAGACTTGTCTATTGGGTTGTGACGTAATATATTACTTAAGCTGTCACTAGCGGACTTGGAGAACCAGAATGACGTTGGCACAGTGACCGAGATTCTACAGACAAGTGGTACTGATAACTTAGCACTATTAGCATTAGTTATACTAATATTATAAATGCGAAAGTTTAGATGGATGAATGGTTGTTTGTTAGAGTTTGTAACCTAAACGGGGTAACGGATTTTGATAAAATTTGACTTAAATGTAGAGGATAGTCTGGAAGAAGACATAAGCTTAGGTTTGTTTTTATTTTTAATTCCACGCAGACGGAGTCGTGGGCGAAAGTCATTTATAAATTATCTAAACAACGATAAAAAACAACTCAAATTATTCACAGCTGTATTTAGAAAAAAACATTTTAGAATTTAATATTGCTCAATTTAAAATCAAATTATTTAAAATGCAATTTATATCTTAGGATGTTTTGGTAGTTTGGTAATCTATCGGCTGATTACTGAAACATTCCAAGATGTAACGGCGTCGTAAAAACTCTACGCTAAACTGCAAATTCCATTAAAATTGACATCAAATTGTTTTCGTACTAAACGAAGTTTTAACATTCGTTTCAGTATCCAGTATGGTACGATAAAAACCGCTGATTATATTAAAAAGCAGTATAGCTATATTTTTTTGTAAATTTTATTTAAACCAAGCAATGTAAAAACCACAGTTTGCAATTCCATCCAAATGTGAGAGCTTATTAATAATTTATACGTCATTCTCGTTACCTCATATTGGCGTTAAATATAATCCGTGGCGTTAAGTTTTATATCGAGTGGCTCCAATACGAGCCATCCATTAATTTAATGGCTCATTCAAACGCGGCTTGCGTAAATTTGCCGAGCTCTCCTCGAGTCGCGTGTTACCGCTTTTATGACGTTACATAAAATATACGATGTTATAACATCTCATTGATCGCGACGCTGACTTTTGACGTCATTAAATACTTCTAGCTGATTAAAAAATCCTACATGTACACAAAAGTTACGTTTTAAATGGGTATAACAGAGTTTTCTAGTTAACATAACTGTACTCTTACGCTAAGGTTTATAGGTTAGGATTAAAAATTAAAAGTTACAAATGAGTGTGTATAGCTCTGAACTGCATAAATCAACTCTCATTTTAACCATTTAGCTGGGGTCCTCATTTAGCCTACAATGTACAATCAGGGAATTTGTCGATGCAACAGCTAAAAAGTTACAGTCGTTTGAATTTTGTATTCATTGAGATGCAACATTTAAATGTGTTTGGATGAAAAAAATCGGTCCTCGAGACACGGTTAATTGTTTTTTATGACCATGCTGTCGTTTATACAAATAGTTACCACCAGCTAATTGGTTATTTGTAAAAGGCGGAGTTTGTCTCTTTGCAAAGAAAAAGAGGAATTTTTCTGTAAGTGGATCATTGTGTATTTCCGCGAGTGTACTATAATTATAAAACCCGACCAGCCTCGAATTATCCGGTGACTGTGTAGCCAATATAGTTGGTCGTCCTGTACTGGCTAAGTATGAACCAGGTATAAACTAACACAAATCTTACCTCTATGCAGGAACAAATTAAGTTGATCTACGAACAGATACACTATTCTACTTCATACATGAAAACAGCGTACTGACCAAGTTATCAATGTTGCCATGTCTATTTTTTACTTTCTTAGAGCGTTTATCAACACCTCACATATAGTTTTAATTTATTCTTTATTTTCTTTAAATGTTTCCATACTAGCTTATTTTTTTTTTTGTAAGATTCGTTGTGTTCTGTGGGGCGGGGGCCTGATGTAGACACAGGGCCCCATTCTAGTTTGGACACCAGACCTCTGCACAAGGAGAAAATCAATAAGGCTATTTCATATATTTATTTAATTTTTATCCAATCTTAGAATTCCTAATTAAAACTGTCCTATTCTAAATAGAGTTCAGCTTTCGGGAGTTATTTAGGAGTGCAACAATTCAAATAAGAGCTCGGAACATTCGCAGACAGAGAATAACTATAAATTGTATCTTATGAGGGTCAGAGCGACGAATCACAATAAAGTGCCGTTTTACTTTCACGTCTTTTACTTTCATAAAATGAATTTATTGTTTACTTTTTTAAAATCTCAATTGCAAATGTCAAAATTACCGTTATTACAATAACCTTGCTTCCTTGATGTTGGCAGCAACAAATGGTCTCTCCCACATTAGAGTTTTATCCAAAATATTTACCACCTAAGTTTAATGGCGTTAAATTGTATAGCCTACAGCGTGACGTAAGTGTAGGGCTTTTTATTTAAAATAGGAATTATTCATAAATATGCTGTAATTGTTGACATCTTAGGCAACAAAGAAGTGTGTATTTACGCTTTATTATAATAGTATAGAGTAAGTAAAGAGTATAGATTTAAAAGTCTAGTGATAGATAATTAAAATAAATAAATTAATTCTATGGTACAGACAAACTTGAATATTCTACCTTCTTCCTTTCGGCTGTCGATAATTTTACATGACAGAGAAATAAAATAAATAAAATAAGTAAGAGGTAAATAAAACAACATTTAACAATTTGAAAGTTTAATAAAATCACATGTAAAGTGAATATTTATTAGCATTGATAGTATTTTGCAAGACAATATTTAAATGAAATACTTCATTTATTTTAAAAAGGGGATCCAGTCTCGAAGTCGATCCAGACTTTGTATGCGCCAACGCTCGCGAACACTGCCGAAGAAAAATATTTATTAAATACTAGTTTTCGCTCGCGACTCCGTTCGCATGGAGTTAAAATATCAAAAGCCTTCCAGACTATCCTCTAGAGCTATGCCAAATTTCATCGAGATCCGTTCAGCAGTTTTGGCTGCAAACTCTAACATCCATCCATTCATTTAAGCTTTCGCATTTATAATATTTTTCTACCTCTTTTTTGCTACCGGTGTACCTCCTAATTTTCATTCTTCTACAATACAAAGCAAAGTATTTTCAATGTAAATAGAATATTGTTACTTACATGCAGCGGAACCGTTCTCAGCAGGACGGACGAGGACTCCAATCTGCTTGCCGTTGCTCACCAAAGGAGCGCCGATATCAAACTGTGTTAGGAAATCATTAATTAAACCAATCAAGTCATCAATGTAAAGATAAAATAGACAAGAAAAGATTTTCATACTACCAAGTACTTAGCAGTACCAGAAGAATGTTATATTTTTCAACATAGTTACAGATCTACGAGTAAAAGTTGAAAGAAGTTGCACAAATTCTTTCAATATGCAGTATTCGTAATACTTTAAAGTTTATTACTAGATCAGAAACTCACTTCAGTGGTCTGTCCGTCGCTGGTGCCCTCGAACACGTCGTTCTGTTCACCTGACAGCGTGAACTCGTAGCAGTTAAGAGTTTCACCGGGGGCTGTAATGTAACAGAATTCACCACATATTCCACACCATAGCCTAGATCTAATGTTTTATACATGAAGTCGGCCGAGTCTATGGCTCAGATTATGAGGAAACATTGCAAGTATAAGAATAAACAGGAGTTTAAATTATAATTACCAATGCAATGCAAATGCATGCAATTTAAATAAAACTAGTTGTTTTCAAACAACATTCGATAACGAATTACTAAACATTAACGAAAAAACTATAATAGCTTAGTGAAGTTTCAAGTTTACTTACAGCCGTCTTCCTGAGAGCCGTAGCCGCAGAGCGTGCCTGTCTCCGGCAGCTCGTCACTGGCAGCCGCCAGCTCCACGGAGCTAATAGTTGCTGAAAATTATACATCAAAATTAATATACAATGAATAAACTCAAAAACTACTGGACGGATTTCAATATTTTACTTTAAGAAAGCTACATTATCTCTGAGTAACATAGACGAAATTTATTAGCAGTCCTAGTTAATTATTTACTAAACTGCAATCCAAAGATACCCTAATACTTGTAATTTCGCATGCATGTTTAGATACTCACGTGTGAACTCGACAACGCGGTTGATCGCGATCAGACCAACCCTGTTGTTGAAGCGGGAGGAGGAGGTCTCCGTCACCAGCTCAGGGTTGACCACGTTAGCGGCGCCATATCGGATCCAAGCGAAGCGAAGACTAAACAGCAATGACAAATCAAATATCACACGTTAATGATTAACATAGTTTGTAGATTAAATTAGATAATTGAATAAACTCTACCGAAATTTGAATTGTCTATGGACAATGATAGCATCACTATTTCGGCAAAATCTGGAAATACGTATTCCAACCATAGATAATAAATGTTTCCCTGTTCATGCAACCATTGACAATGTACTTGTACATGTCGGGGATATACACGATGTCCGGTTTACAGAAAAATCGCCCTGTTCTTTACAATGTGCCAAACTCGTGAGAGAGAACAAAGTGAGTTGCATCGTCGGAATAATATAAAGCAATTAGCCGTGTACTGACACACGTTACTTTTTTACAGACAAATAAAAAACGTCCTAATTTCTGTGTGGTCGTCTAGATTTGTACAAAACTCTCTAACGATTGCTTATAAGGTAACACCGCCAGATACCCCGATCGTACATATCCCGTATTAAAATGCTTTACACTTACTTCTGTACGCAGCTGCCGGAGGTGAGCACCCAGCGTTCATTGATGAGGGAACCCACGCAGCTGTTGAGCAGACCAGCGCCGAAGGTGGTGGCAATGCGGAGGTGGACTACCCATGGGTTCTCCGCCGTTGAGACAGCGGTAATGGGAGCTGAAAGTTTTGAAGAAAAAATGTATTTGCCATTTGGACTGAAAATGTCTCTGTCGAAATTCAAGGCTGAACCAAAATATATCGATTTTCTAATACAAAAAAAAATAAAGGGTTATTGTTACTTTAAAAACTGATAAACCGGTTTATTTATTAATTATACTTTAATAGGGACCAACTAGGAAATGTTTTATTATAAAATAATAATAGATTTTTTTTTTTAAATTAGAAAACAATAGTTAGCACCATAAATAAAATCAAGAAAACTAAAGTTAATCATAAATGTAAGGTAAGTTCGAGCGGATGAATCTAAGTAAATAAGTGCTTATTACACTTACCGTCCAAGCCGGTACTGCGGCCCTGGAAAATTGAACATAAAATACTTTCATTTAACTTTCATTTTTTTACTTCTACTTAGAACTGTAATTAATTTATGTAATAAACCTTATTAGTTAAATTTCGTTGTTTTATTTAAACTTTATTCGGCATTCCTTGTATATCCATCATTGAAATTTATTCCTTATTAGTTTTTTATTTATAAATCTTACTAATATTATAAATGTGAAAGTTTAGATGGATGGATGTTGGTAGCTTTAAC